ATGGTGATTTTACATCAATAAAATTATTTACAACCCTATTTTGGCTCTGATCTTTCACGGAAAACAAACTATTTTGGCATCAGTGTCCTTTTTCCAATTAAAACGGTGTCAAAGTCAAATAACGGAGCATATAGAAGAATTATTTGTTGCTGAACTGAAGGAATTATACCATAAGGATAGAAAAACTATATCACAATCACTTCCAACAGGAAAACATGACTCAAGCTCAATCTTCGCAGCTGGTGATATAGTGTAAATACCACTGCAAAAACTCCAATATTTAAAAAATGAGCAAATTCCTACAAGGTTTTCTTCAAAAATATTTTATACTGAAGTAAATGTAGAAAATTAAATAAGTACCTACTACAAAAAAGCATTTAGGTGAAAAAAGTATTTTGAATATACGTATTTTGCATTTAGCATTTAAAATACAAAAAGGAAATTTTGTATTTTACATTTGTTAAACATTTTGCACATCTCCCAATTTTTCAGAAAGTAAGGTATTTTGAATATGGTTGTACGGTTGTACCGCAATAAACCTATAATAACTTACCGAAGTATTCGTACACCTAACAAGCAATAAAAATTCCGATATACTGAGAATGCCTCCACAGTATACTTTTTATTTACCTCACATGTAATATTTTACAATTTTGTATACTACAACTGTATGGCATTTTACGTAAATCGATAAAAAATAAATAAATTGTTTTCATATTACGAAAAATTATATCAATCGGATATGGTTTAAATATATGTAAATTTCTTACCTTACCAGCACCACTATGTCGATTACCCTGAAATTAGAAGATCACTTAGTAATTATTGTTGTTATTAACAATATCTTTAATTATTAATTACATCAATTCAAATAACATTGTATTTAATTAAATTACATTTTATTGTTAAGGTGTCAACCTGTACATACAGGGTGTCCAATTAGTGCGATATCGGATCTTATAGGATATTAGAGAAAAAGATTAAATACAAAGTTGCTCGATGCTTTAAGATGCCTAGCCTAAAAATATTTTCCCGTATAGAGGCTGCTCAGTAAATGCGGTATGAGGTATGATCGAAGATTAAGTTAGTTGGCCACATTTACAAGAAAGGAAAGAAAACAATTAGCTTAAATTTCCATGCATCAATCATTTTAACTAGAATCGTACATAGCATGGAGAAAAGGGCGGAAAACTATTAGGGGAAGATCGAATTGGGTTTAAAAGAATTTGAGGAACACTGGAGGCTATTCTAGCTTTACGGGTAACAAAAGAGAAAACTATGGAAAAAGGAAAGAGTTAGTACATACGATCGGTAGATTTAGAAAAAGCTTTTGACAATGTTCAATGGGACAAATGTTAACTATACTTCAAAATGTAGGGATGAGTTACAAAGATAGAAGAGTGATATTTAGTTTCTCTAAAGAGCAACAGGCAATATAGAGCTGGAGCTGGAGTTGGAACGTAGAGAAGTAAATACTAAAAAGGGAATCAGACAGGGATGCACACTGTCACCGCCATTTTTTAATCTATACATCGAAGACGCGATCAACATCATTAAAGACAATATAATAACTGTAGAGATAGATATACAGGGTCAAACGATTAGTATGCTTAGATTTGCAGATGATGTTAGCATCCATCAAGGAGGAGTTAGAGATAACTTTAAATAAAATGAAAGCGGTATTGACGAAACAGTATTGTACGAAAATGAATAAAAGTAAAACACAAATACTGGTTTGGAAAGGAGGAAAAAGTAGGGAAAGGGCGAATATAAAGATAGGAGACGAAAAATTAGTAGAAGTGGCTGATTTTTGGAATTTAGGAAGTCAGATAACTCAGGATGGAAGGAGCAGTAGAGGTATAAAACAGAGGATGACACAGCGTCGAGTCGCCTTTAGCCACTTCTATGCTTGCGAACGGTTAATTTAAAAACTCTGAGAAGGTTGTGAAAGGTGTATGTTTGGAGCGCGGCGTTGTACGGGTACGAAGCATGGACAGTGGGCAGTGGGAAAAAAAGGTTAGAAGCGTTCGAAATTTGGGCGAATGACGAGGATACTGTGGATAGAGAAGGTCAGAAATGAAGAAATATTTGAAAGAATAAGAGAACAGAGGACGCTATGGAAGTCCATAAGAAATAGACGGGATAGGTTGGTAGAATAAAGGAATGAAGGACTAATCAGAGACATATATTAGAAACAAAAAGGAGCTTACAGGAGTAGAGGCAGAAATAGATTACTGTTCATAAATATGTTATAGATTTTGGGAAATATGATGAATAGCTCAGGATAAGAAAGAGTGGAGGTAAATGTCTAACCAGTCTTAAAACTGACCTTATGATGATGATGAGGTAAAAATTTGGGTAAAGGTCTAGATGATGGCCCCCACCCTCCTTCGGGTGGGGGTGGGGGGATCGAAAGAGGAGGTCTCCCCCACCACTGTACCATAAAAAGTTCGTGGCGGTCTCACCTTCATAAAAAGTTATACGGGTTCAAAGTTAATTAATATGCCAATTTTTATACATTCCTAGGCATGTAAATATTTATGTAGTCATTCTTAAACAATATTCAAAGGTAAAACTAATGAAAAATACATAAAGATATTGAGACAGCACTCATAATTCTTTT